TTGTCATTTGAATTGTGTGTAATCACGACAATTACTGCTCATAGTCCACAGTTGAGAATCACATCCTAATCATACAATTTTTCTTTCTTGTTATTTTATTCATCATTTTTAATTTGTTATTTTTACAAACTTATTCCACTCAGATTTGAAACAACGTATAATGTACCGTCGCGTCGCATCGCCCAGCTACTACATCGATCGCAGTTATTTCAAAAGTAGGTAAATAATATTTATATTTTTTTCACTCCTTGCCCTATTCGATTTTATGCAAAAAAAAATCAATATATATTTTTTTATATGTTTTATTATTGGAAACCTACAGTATTATACTGTAGGTTTCCAATACTTTTTATGTTCAATATTGAAACTAAAAATGAAGGTATTAAATTCAGAGATTTATCTCTTTTGTTATTTATTGTGTATCCTAAAAAGATTACATTCCAAAAAAATTCCAAGAAATGTTTTGCGCTCGCGACAAGTCATTTATATTAAAACGCAAACGTTCTGCCATAATATGATGGCAAATATGTATAAGTAAAGTCATTAGTATAATAAGCCAGAGATCAGTAAGACTCCAATTTACTCTCAATAGCTCCTGATTGAGAAGGATCATACGTAGATGACAGACATTCACATATTCCGTTGATATATCAAGGAAATATCATATATTATATAATTTTATCAGCTTAATTACTTCCTTAAGGAAAGTTTGTTCCTGAAGCAATTTACCTAATTTATTTTTTTCTAGTAGTTTCTTATATGGGTTTTGTTGACGCACATAAATACAACACATCAATACAAGGATAGGTTTTATTCCGGAAATCTCACGGCAACAATAACATTAAAATCTACGGACTCTGAGTTTTAAATAACTCGTCAGATTTAGCTGCAATTGGTACAACGTATTTTTTGGACCTGGCTAGGTTCTTTTTTTGTAATTGATGGGCTGACGTTTGACCACTATCTCGCCTGGTGGTAAGCGATGATGCGGCCTACGATGGAGCACGTCGTCCCACAAGCAACCTATTCACTCGGGCCTTGAACACACCCAGGTATACCCTTCAGGAAATACAGACTCTGGCAAATAATTCCATTCCTAGCAGTACGCACAAGGAAGCTTGATACGAAGCGATTCGTCCGTGTGGGTGGGACATCTACCATGAATCGGTGATGCTACACCGATCGTCTTGTGGTACGATGATGGAAAGGACTGGGGAATCAAGTTGTGCTATTCCCCCGCACACTCATCGAAATGTATCCGGTAGAAAACCGACTGCGTTGCGATGTCGCGCAGCCTACACGCACTACGTTACTACTATGCTGCTGATGAGGAAAAGTCCCTCTGTGACTCGAAACTAGTAGAGTTTTTCTCAGTATATTTACGTGAGTGACTCGTAATTTTCAATTAATTGATTATCTTCTTCAAAAACCCAATAAAATGTTTAAATACTTTGTAAGCACTCCATAAACAAAACGAACAAAACATAAATCCGATTCAAGAAGTCGTAGACAAAACAAATCAAAATCGTTAATTTGAATTGAGAAGGCGCGGAGTCAATCGGTGCTCGACCGCGGCGCGTGGCGGTCGCGTGCGCACACGAGTGGCGGCGTGCTGCGCTGAAGAGCATATGCAGCAGCATTGTACAATCATTATCTCATCGGTGATAGCAATGATTTTCTATTATTAAGTGTTTATTTGTATATTAATGTAGGAGTTAAAATGATAGAGAGCTTTTAGTTATCACATGTTGCTGTCATTCGTCTACTTAGCAAAAAATGCTGATGGATGTTTCCAACTTCTTCGGTTTTCGCTCAAACTCTGGAGAATCAGAGATGTTTAACCCTTCTGGTTCGAATGTTTCTGTACCGATTGTCATAAGAGCATTTATGAAGGAAGTGGCTTTCGACTTTCTGGTCAATTTGACACTACATGTTTCCAAACCCCAATAGGTAGGCCCAAAAGAAATATTGTTAAAATAGATTTAATGTTATGTAATATGGTAGTCGGCCTGCGACTGTCAGTATCCAGCTGATCCTAAGTATAATAAAATAATCACTTAAGACCGAAACTTAATCTATCATTTGAGCCCGAATACTGAAAGGCTACTCAATTTTAAGTTGTGTTTAAATATCGTGCCATCTCTATCATTTTGTAAATAATTTGTAGTGACAGAACTATACTAAAGCTCGACTTAAAATTGAGTGACGTTTCAGTATTCGGGCGTTAGGTAATCTAAAACTGCATACTCACCAACAACAAACATCGTTGTAAACTTTTAGAAAGGAAAGAAACAATAAATAATGGAGTAAGGTGGACAACACACGAAGTGGTCGTTAGAAGTCGGTGAAGTTTGCCAGTTGTCGATAGTTGAGGAGAGTTAACAGGAGAGCCGCCGACCCGCGGCGCAGCGCGTGACCTCACGCGCTACGATTTTAGGAAACATCACGTCCCATACTTTACTGTAAGTCACGGTGTGAGAAAATTCGACTGGGATATAATATTATTGACGTGTAAACTTTCTAGTGTAAACTAGTATTAACTTCAAACGTGATTTGAATCCTATCTATATTCTATCAACTAAATAAACCGTGTTGTTAACCGTCTTATAATTAGATTTATTCGTTATTTCGTTACGAGATTCCATTTTTCATGCAGACTGATTGATGACCATCTAAAATCCGAAAGATAACCAATACTTTAAGGATGCAAATGGCAGGAACATCTAAAAATCAGACGAAAGACACAAACCAAATAAGGGGATACAATGAGAATGTAAATAAATTCAATGATGCGTAGTACCTCGTTACTCCTGCATTATTGCCTCACTCCTGATGAGTATGTTCCGTGAAAATGGCAGGAGACGTATGAAAAATTCATTAAGATAGCTAGTTATGCAGAAATTAGTTGGTAATGCATGCACCAAGTTCGCTAACTCGTGGTTAATGTATGCAAGTGCAGGGCGGGCGCACACTTGCAAATTGCCGGCTTATTAGAGCCGCGCCGCGCACACTTAGACACGTAACCTGCTAATAATGATATTATTTAAGTGTACACAAGTACACACTAGTGTCTGCATATTCATGTGTTGTGGCTGCTAAGTTAAGGTGATTCACCTCAGGCTTTCATTTCGTTGATTAAAAGATTTTGATGACGGAGACTTTAATGATGTTTCCTGAAGATTGTATAGTTTTTTCTAAGGATGAGGGGATCTTGGAAAGTTGTATGTTCTTAAACATTTTGGTACCCATCTATGATGTAGATACAGTAGGTACAGATGCAGTTACCTAATGTTCTTAGTTTGTCGCGGAGAACCTAACGGCTAACCGGGGCTCCGTTTCGACGTGCAGGAGAAGGAACGGGGTGGTTTTTAGTCAATAAGAATCTGACACTCCCTCCTGCCTCACCCAGGCGGGAGCAATCATTCGATGATTTTCCCTACATTAAAAAAAAATTAGAATGTTCTTAGTTTATTGGCTTATTTAATTAGGGTAAGTAAACAACGTCAGAAAATAATTTATATTTCGCCTAATCTAGCTAGTTAAGATTCCATAACACCTAAAAACCTCAGGATTTTTAATCGACTTCCTAAAATGAGAAGGTTTTCAATTCGGCTGTGTGTTGATTTTTCGTCTTTAGCTGAATTATTAATTGAAGGCATCCAGTTATATCGTAAAATAAAATATTGTTTTAATTTTGTAAAAAACAAATATGTGTGTGAAATACTAACCACTTACTTAATTTTATTAAAACGACGAATTATGCAGAAACTGCTGCTTAATAAAATACTATTGATATTTCTGTTTCGTACAAATACTGGCAAGAAGTGAGTGAAATACCACATCAACATGAATAGTCCGTGATTGTCCACCGATGGAGTACGAGCCACCTCGGCATGCACTCGGGTCACCAACTCCAAGAATATATTTGGTGATCATAGTTTACAACGTAAACTTACTATGATCTTAAAAAATAATTATCCGTGGATTCTGAATATTTTAAAGTTTAAAACATTCAGAATTCTTAAAGAGCGCTATACAAGTATACATATACAATAAAATCTGTTAACGTTTTCAGAATCTCAAAATACGTGGAAATATATCATAATTTATGGTAATGTATATTTCTAATTTTTAGTTTTTAGTTCAATGACATTTATGAACCAAAAGACCAACCAGTTTTTAAAAATATACATGTAAATTACACCCGTATAATGACAATATTAAAAGCAGACCTATTTGTAGTACAATACTATATTTATGAATGTACTAAACTATGTTAAATGTAATCAATATTTGATATTAAAATTCGAATCTAATGCACTCTATTGTACCCGTATATGAAGAGAATAATTATATATAATTTATTATACACCATATTCAACCTAAATACAAATTAAATTAAATTATGAAGGATGAAGATAAATGCCATTTTCGCTACATGCTTCGTAACCGCCGCTACGAGCGTGCTACGAAACTGCTACGCTGATACGCAATTCAGTTACAATTCTCTATTTTTGTTTAAGTATCTCTACACTAAGATTTTTCCTTTGTGCTGGGGGTACATTACAAATTACAAACATGTTTGGTATACACGTCACCCCAGACTAGGAATAACGATTTGTAGATCACACAAAGAAATATACGATTATTGCAATAAACATAAACACTTACTTACATGTGATGTGATGTGTCCTTTATGTACTTTTATTTAGCAAGGGAATTATAATTATACAATTTTAATAATTAGTAGTTCATATCAGACAATTTCTTTAACCTAACTACAATTTACTTTAACATATTTTTGCTTTACCTAACTCCTAACTAAGTAAGTACATTCAAAATATAATCAGATTAAGAACTACTTTCTGTCCTGTTCCTTGCATTTTTACAGTATTCGCATAGATAAATGCGACGAAACGGAAATAACATGGCTATTTATTTGAAAAAATTATCGGTTAATGTATTATGTACTTTATTATATTATGTACAGAGATACATACTTATTGCACCGGCCGCTCCCGGCCTCAGCACGTCGCCGAGCAGATCTTTAATAAGGAACGACTTGTGACTATCCTGCATCCTGGAATCCATCGCCGCACTTATAATGACTAGATTTGTAATTTGTTCCCGCGATAAATTCACATCACAGCACTTTACAAACAAGTTTAATAACTTTAAAACACTTGTCTATTGAATATTGTATTTTATTAATTAAGCTAAAGATATTTAATTATTTAAATTGTTATTGCAGTTATCGAGAGTGGCCGAGTAACCAGCCTGCACTTTCCCGCGCATTCGAGATAACTGTCCGCCATATTCGCAAAATAGTCGTTGAATCGCGAAAATCTTTTCATTTAGCTACGCCCTGCCCCTAACCGATGTTACATACATTTTCTTGTGGTTTTGGACCAAAATACCGCTTAAACGGGGTTTAAAGCGCGTTTAGCATGCGCGGCGGGCGCCGGGCGTGGCCTGTTCGCTCCTCCCCGCCGCTCGGCGCCAATGGCGAGTCAGCCACAAAGTTTTATAGCCGAATGATTTCTAAAGTACACATCGAACAAGGGTTTAGACTTGTAGTTATTGAGTTGGGTTTTTTAAAAGACCGTTTTGAATGTAAATCGAAAAGTTAAGCGGGGTAAAGAGGCTGCCCGCGGTTCTCCAATTAAATTGATAGTTGTTTGTCGAGTGGAAGGCGCGGGCGGCTCGGTAACTCGGTGGGAATGGGACGCAGTTTTATCATTTTATTTAAGTAGTCGAAGTAATTCTGCGGTTGCTCTCGGTATAACTCGTGAAGTGTACTGTTACGCTTACGACTTACAATGGGTACAAGACTGAAAATAGATCATTAGGAGTACCTAATGATAGGTACATACGTATGTACCTATATCATCGACCGCACGTTTTTATTTTTATGTAATTTAGTAAACTTTACGGAATAACGTCGTTGGCCGAGTTGTAGCATGTGTGACTGTGGGCTTGTCGGGCCAGGATTTGGCTTCGATTTCTGGGGCTGGTATGATATTGTTTTATTTGCTTTTCGAAAAATCTTCGTACGTCTTTGAAATCACATGCGAATTTCCGGGTTTACCTTTCACCTTAATGCTGTTTAATGTTTGTGTTCGATAGGCGGCATGTAACTTATGTAAAAAATTACGACGTTTTTCATTAAGCATTATAAATGACTTTTTTTAGTGATTTGCCGTTTTAGTATAGGTGCTCATAAAAATGTTAATATACGTTATACAGTGAAAGGTTACGGTTTTTAAACTATATTATATAAGCCGATAAATCCCGACTCCCAGCCCCTGCGGCCTGTGGCTAGCTACGTCTACGCACTACGCAATACGGACTACGCAATACAGTCTACGCGCTACGAACTACGCACTACGGCCTACGTACACGCTACGGTCTACGTGCTACGAACTATGCACTACGGCCTACGTGCTATAGTATACGGCTATAGTATTACGCCGCAACTTAATGCAAAATTAAGACTTATATCTTCTCTACATGTCGGCAGATGGATCTCCCCGAGCCGTCCACGCGTCTATAGGTTGAATCAAGTCCAAGTGCTCATGATGGTTCTCGCAGACGCAACATGCATGCAAAATGAACCTTTTTTTTTTTAGGGGGGATCGTCGCATTCTGCGCGCGCCTCATAGAGCCATCAGACCACCACGGATGGGGCCCAATAGGGCCGATGCCGATTCCGAGTCGCGGAGAACCTAACGGGTTACCGGGGCTCCGGCTCGACGTGCAGGAGTAGGAACGAGGTGGTTTTTAATCAGTAAGAGTCTGACACTCCCTCCCGCCTCACCCAGGCGGGAGCAGCAATTTGATGGATTTAAATATAAATATGTATGAAGGTGAATATGTGTGTATATTTCAAATAACTGTCTGTTTGTATGTGTGTGAAGTAGAAAGATATATTGAACCGATTGAGCTGATTTACATACTCATTAAATTTACATGACCATAATAGATAAAATTGTGGGAGTGGAAGATTTTAAAGTGTGGGAGAGCCTATCTTCGGCATTAATCGGCCGGTTCGACCGGAGTGATACTACGGCCTCACAGAAAACCGACCTGAAACAAAGCTTGCGTTGTGTTTCGTCGTGTGAGTGAGGTTACCGGAGCCCCCCCCCCTTCCCCAATCCCTGAATCCCCAACAATCCTTAAATTCTTCATCCCAAAATGCGCCGGTACCGCACTTGCAACGCCTCTGGTGTTCCAGGTGTCCATGGGCGACGCCGATTGTTTACCATCAGGTGATCCGTCTACTCGTTTACCAGCTTTAAACATAAAAAAATAAGCTTTGCAGTAGCTGCAGAAAATTTATAGTTTAGGATATTGGTATTTTGGTGTTCTTTTTTTATATCACGACGGCAAAAATAGCACACGGCCCACCTGATGGTATGTTGTTAGCAGTGGCGTGCAGTCCATATAGGCGAAAAGGCATTGCCTACCTATAAATATCGTGAATATATAACATACATATAATGTACAAACGCGTTTATTAAAATTCAATAATATAATAAAAGTTTGTAAAAAAACGGCTAACATAAATACGCGCCTTTGTAAAGTAATGAATGCGCCCCGCACGCACCACGCATGCGCCACTATTCCTTAAATCTTGGTTGGCAGTAGTGACGTCACAAAAGAAATGTACCAAAAGTATGCACCGCGCATGCGTGAAGTTCACGACCATAGTCACGGTACAGAATAACCATTCATAATTATATTACGCGATTCCTGTTGATTGACAAAATGTTTGCAACTAAAAAATTAGAGGACCGTTCGTTCATCACTTGGAAAACGATCGTATTTTATTAAGAATTCTAAATACAATAAAACAACAACAAGTTATTGTATTTTTAAAAACAATTAAATCATAAAAGGATTTAAATTGATAAAATTTGTATGTATATCGTAAAGTACTGATGAATGGAGTACACCAGCGCCATCTATTGAATTTTTTGTTGAAACTTCTGAACTCGTTCGATATAATGCGAATGTATTTTTATAAATGCGTATTTAACAAATATTTTTCAAGTGTTTTAATTAAAGTTTAACATTTTTACGCGTTGTCGGTTTATAGAAATTTTAAACGAGGAGTTGACTTTATTATTATAAAAGTTAAAAGGAAGTTATTGATACGTCAAGATGGCGCCATTTACAACGTTTCAAATTATATGAATGAATGTTTTTTAGTATGAAATATTGGTTTAAGACGATGATGCAATTTCATTTGACTTACTAAATTAACGTTTGTTTTTTTGAAATTAAACGCTGCGTTACCTTAATTTTTAAGCTACATTTTTTTTATAATAAACACTCAATTGACTATTGGTAATGACTTCAATTCATTTCCAATGTTTTCGGCCATATTGTTTTCATGTGATGTGCGATCGCTTTGTTTATGTTTTCGTTTAAATTATTAGGAATTAGTTTTAAACATAAAGTTGCATAAATGTGTAGTAGTAGTTAAATATATGTGTAGGTTTTTCAAATAGTGTATTTGTTTCTCAGTTTCTAGTACAAGTACCTATATTATTCGATTGTGAAGTGTGTGTGAATAATAGGTAATTTTATGTGTTTGTTGAAAGTAAAAACAGTAAGATTTCGCAATGTCCTTTATCGGACTAGATTCAGGTAATGACCATAGGCAGAGGTGTACTCGAGTTACGAGAATTGACCCAAGTAAAAGGTAGGTAATGTAAATATGTACTATAATGGATCTTTTATTTGATTTTCTTGTTTATTGTTTGATAATTCTTAAAAATATCAACTTAGACTTCGGGTTGTACTGATTCACATATTAATTTATTATTAATATTTATGTAATGTAGTAATAACAAATGTACCGCATAGACTCGGCCGGCTCGGCCACAGCCGGCCGCGCTTGTTATTGTTTTGTTTGTTGACATAATGTAGGTACCTACGCTCTTAAATTCGTAATATATTATGATTTTGACCAGATTGATTAACCTTAACAATTCCATAATGAAATTTGGTTCATCAAATTTATGCTTCATTATTAAAATAAATAATAGATCTTTCATTATTTGTAAGTTTTGTTGGCTTATTCAATAGCTGATGAAGTACTTCACAAAAAATACGCGAGATGTCAGTGTATGTAATTTGGCGAAACAATACACCACAATATTCTTGAACGCACTTTTCAAAATATATTATGTACATGTACCTATCTTGTGTGAGCATGATTGTATGACCGGCGGGGGGGAGGGGTTTAATCATACGATATTTAGTTGCCTACCCTGTCTCGAAAACCTGTGCACGCCACTGGTTGTTACGTGGCCTATGAACGCTTGCAGCACATTGGGCATTACATGCGCCTTGCCGACTCTAAACCTATTTACTCTTTTCTCGAAGAACTCCATATTGCCCACTGGGAAAATTTTGGCAGGGAATTCATTCCACAGGCGGAGCGTCCGTGGGAGGAAATTCTTCTGAAACGGAACTGTATACCATTTGGACTGTACCATCTGTACCATCCAATTTGTGAGCGCGAACTCGATGTGTCGATACCGATCAGTGCGATGCAAGGAAGCGGCTTTGTCTTTGTGGTGGTGGCAGTGTCTTTTATATTATTTTATGGTTTGTTCTGTGTGTATTATTTATCGAATATATATAAATGAAATAAATGGTTAATAATAAAATTAGACATAATAAAACTTGTTTTTAACAAACTTCAAAAAAGGAGGATCTTAGTTTGACCTGTCTGTATGTTTGTGTGCGATTATATCGCAATTGGATGAACCGATTTTGATGCGATTTTCAGAAAAGTGTTTCCTACACTTGGGAGAGGGTTTTAGTAGGTATATTAATTACAGGACTTCTAAAAAAGAGGGTATGAAGTCGGTTCTGTTAAATGCAGTTTATAGAAGACTTATATAATTTTATATATTTATCTGATTTTGGAATTCCAAGAACACAGTAATATAAATAAGCTCGCTCCCGGACATAACTAAAGAAAAGTAAGGGTTCATTTTATGATGTTATGTTATGTTATGAAGAAAAATTTAAAAACCTTATTTAATTACAAAATTAAATGTATT